ATAAGTTTAGTCCAGTCAGAAAACATCTATTTTTCATCCCTCTAAATGTTAAGGGTGGTTAATTTTACCATTAATTTTTTTATTATGGACATCATCATCATAAAAAAAATACATACAACCTTAAATTTTCACCTTTCCACCACCCATATTTTTATGGCGATACGAAGTTCGCTGGCTTAGCTAGTTTTAGATAAAATGCGAATGGTACCTAGAATTTCGAAATAGAAAGGTAGGGCTCAGTGATTTTCGGCTTTAATTGGAGCGCCCATATGTGGAAGTAAAACCTCCACCTTACCACTATACGTACAAGAGCAGTACTCCGACTTCATATTAGCGCCCGAATCGACGCACGCACACAGACAAACGTCATTTACACGGCCGCTAACCAATCTTGACAAGACAAATCTACGCAGTGCCACGCCACGTCGCGCGCCGCCGAAACTGGTCGTTGGCCGACCGCGCCGTCTGCGTCCGTTTCAATTCCGTAATGTGGCAATAGTAACTATACACATGCAATAAAAATCTACACAAATATGTTTTACATTTTGTAAGTATCCACCCTAGCGCTCCGCTCAGTCGTAGGTATTTGTTTGAAGAAAACGGCTGAGTTACGCTACTGCTCTTGTGACCTTACAGAAGATAACAGTAAAACAACACTACCTATTTGTCTTGTGTGGCTGCACCGGGTAGGCGATTGGTTTAGGCGTTTTGCAGACGACGGGGCGGGGCGGGCATATTGTCCGCGAAGCAATAAAAACCGTGTCTGCCCGTCGATGTATGCGGCTGCCCGCGCCGCGTACACAAAGCACACGACGGACAGAGGCAGTCAGTTCAGGACGTTCGTTCTCGTGAATAGTCCATCACTAAAAAGCGCGTGGCGCGGACTGAGCTGACCGCCCCGCGCCGCCGTCTGCGTTACTGCATATAAACTGGTTTGTATGCCGCGGACATGCCGCGTCGCCAGTGCCCGCCGGGCACCTGCGGCGCGGTCTTTTTGCCCTCTGTGTGCGTTTGTAGTATAGGATTCACTTTGTGCTATCGTTCGTGGCGAAATTGACCGACCCGCCCCGCCCCGTCGTCTGCAAAGCGCCTTAGGGTAGACAACGGCGCAAGCGATATTTTTTATATCGCAAGCGTCTATAAGCTATGGTGGCCCCTTACCATAATGAGCTCATTCCACTTGACTAAATTCAGACGTTCTAAATCATTCAGGAACTAATTCAGTCAAGTGAAATAGCATTTAGGAAATTAAGATCCTAATTAGCAACCTAATTCGGAAGAAGTGTGGCTTCTGAGTGTCTAAATCAGCTATACTCTAAGTGTGTTCCGCGGAACCCTAGGGTTCCGTGATACCTCTGTCGGGGTTCCGCAAGAATTTAGAAATAAAAAAATCAAAACACCTCTCTCTGGTCGCTCCGCGGCTGTGCGGACTCCGCGGCCGCGCGGAGACAAAACGCTATGAATGTTATTTATTTATTTATTTGTATTTGTATAAGCTTGTGTTACATTAGCTGGTACAATATCTCATAAGTTTGGTCTCAACAATTTTATACTTGTACAACGCGTTCGCTCTAAGTTTGCCGGTCTGTGGAATGCGCGTACCCTCCCCCACGTGACAACAAAACTTATAATGTGTCATAGTTTTACCCAAATATCTAACGTACACAATTTTTATTGTTACAATTAAATAAAAAATTTCGAACGTCATACACTCATACCTATCGCCAGCGGCAAACTTAAAACGAGCGGGTAGTATACTTGTAAGCGCTCAGTCTCTTTGATAAAAGCCGCCTCTGAATTAGACGCTATAGTTGTCAACTAGCGACTTTCGTCTCTAACTTCAAAGGATAAAGTCGATATTGTTTACAACGCTATTTTTAAATTTCTGTTTTTATTTTTGCTTTTTGTTTATCAAAGGTGCCGACTCGAGTATTTTCGAGAATATTTGAGATCGAGTCTAGGACTAAGTATAAAAGCGGCGATCGCGCGTTGGCGTCGTCAGTTGATGATTAGCGTTCGGAGCGATAAGTTACTACCTACTTACAAGCTCGCTAGCGAGAAACTGGTGTTCATTGTTTTACTGCCTGCTGTATTCTGTTGTCTCAGTTTTATACATTTCTTCCCTGTAGGTTCTAAATTTAGTCTCTTATACGCAGTAACGATTGTGCATTATTTAAACCCCACTATCCTGACTTGTAACATTATAAATAAAGAAGAATGGAACGTTGGCTTAAAGGTGTTAAACGTGTTCCAACAACATCTTCTAATGACGCTGAATGTTCAAAAGCAATGCGCGCGGAGAATTTAGCAATCACCGATCCAGAAGATGATGCCACGAGTGCCACGACGTCAAGCTCGACGGTTTCAAAGACGAAAAAAAGGAAGTATGATGAATCTTATATCAGTTTCGGATTTGTTGATTCCAACGGCTCACCTCTCTGCATGCTCTGTAGTAAACTGCTTCCTAATAGTTCCATGGCACCTGCCAAATTGCGTCGACATTTAGAAACCGTACACCCCGAGACTAAAGACAAGAATAAAGAATTTTTTGTTCGCAAAAAAGATCAGTTATTAGAAAGTCAAAAAAATATGATGCATGTAACACAAACTACCAACGAAAAGGCCACGGAGGCATCATACTTAGTTAGCTATCGCATTGCACAAGCAGGTGAAGCGCACACTATCGCTGAGAAATTAATAAAACCATGTGTATTAGACATAACAAAATGTATGCTTGATGAAAAATCTGCAAAGCATCTTTCTACTGTTCCGCTATCAAACGATACTGTTTCACGACGAATCCATGATCTGGCAAGCTACGTCAAACAAGAACTAGTTACACGTCTACAAAATACACGATTCGCTTTGCAAATGGACGAGTCGACTGATGTCGCTGGTTTGGCTATCCTGCTGGTTATTGTGAGATATCCATATAAAAGTTCTTTTGAAGAAGACATGCTTATGTGTTCATCGCTGCTTACAAACACTACCGGGGAAGAAATTTTTAATAAAATAAATATATTTTTTGAAGAACATAATCTCAGTTGGAACAATTGCATTGACATTTGTACAGATGGGGCCAAGGCGATGACAGGTAAAACAGCAGGAGCAGTGTCACGAATGAAAAATAAAGCGCCTAATTGTAGTTCCAGTCATTGTATTCTGCATAGACAAGCACTTGCGATGAAGCAAATGCCGTCTAATCTAAAATTAGTTATGGATGAAGCGGTAAAAATAATTAATTTTATCAAATCACGACCACTACAATCCCGATTGTTCTCATTATTGTGTGAAGATTATGGCAGCAAACATAAAACACTGCTGCTCCATACAGAAGTGCGATGGCTGTCTCGGGGAAAAACTTTAACAAGGCTATTTGAACTTAGAGCCGAGTTACAAATGTTTCTTTCAGCAGATACTTCTTTTAATTTGAAGGACCGTTTGTATGATAAAACTTGGTTGTTCCGATTGTCTTTTATGGCGGATATCTTTCAAAAACTTAACGAATTAAATTTATCATTGCAAGGTAAACAGACAACAGTGTTTCAGGCCTATAATAAAATAACTACTTTTAAAAGAAAATTAGATTTTTGGATCATTTGCATTGGTAAGAAAGAAATAGAAAGTTTTACGTTACTCACTGAGTTTGTTAGCGAAAACGACTCAGAAATGTTTGAAGATAATGTGTTTGAAGAATTGGTCCAATATCTCAGTTCGATGCGCGCATCTTTTGAAAAGTATTTTCCCGAAGAACACAATACAAAAATTAAAGTGAACTCCTGGATTCATAATCCTTTTTTACCCAACTTGGAAAAGCCTGAAAACATGTCAAATGAGATATATGAATCTCTTTTAGAAATGTCATCAGACACAAGTATGGAGTCATTGTTCAAAACGACGCCTCTTAATGATTTTTGGTGCAGAATCCAAGATGAATATGCAATGCTTGGCCAAATGGCTCTGGATATTCTTCTCCCGTTCCCAACTACATATTTGTGCGAAACAGGATTCTCTACCTACGCAGCCACGAAAACAAAATATCGCAATAGACTGGACGCCGAAGCTGATATGAGACTCCAACTTTCTTCCATCAAACCTGATATCAAGCAATTGATGAAAAATAAAAAACAGTTTCATACCTCCCACTAGTTAGATTTTTTCTTTTTTAATGTTTTCTATTATTGTCCTTACCAAGTGGTGAAGTAAATAATAATTAGTAACGGATACATTGTACTTTTATTATGCTGATTAATATAGAATACACTTATAAAAATAATTGTTTTATTGTAGGGTTCCATCAAGTATTTTGCTTCCCAAAAGGGTTCCGTCATTTAAAAAGTTTGAGAACCACTGTATTAGACAAATCCGTCCGTCCGTCCGTCTGTCTGTGGTGCTCTTTCAGCGGGCAAACCGTAAGAGATAGATAAAGAGAATGTTTAAGTTATAAGTTAAGAATAGTCTGATAAGACTACAAACCGGATTTGAGTAACGTAGCACTTCCGGTTTTCGAGAAATCACGAATTTCAAACGAAACCACACAAAATCTCCGAAGTTCTCAATTTTTTTTTTTTTTTTGAAGTGAAACTTCTTTATCGGCGTTGGAAAAAAATTTACCGTCACTTTTTTTTCGGTTATGCGTCACGTTTTTTGGTTACGCGCCATCTTTTTTTTAAAAGAGCACTATTTACCTCATCCGAACAATTGCTTCTTCTGTCAACTTTAAAAAAAAAAGTATCGACAGCAAATATTCGTGTTTCACACAAGGTAAGGTAAGGTGTAGTTATACCCCTTTAGTGGGTGAGTTTTTGAAAAATCTTAGCGCACGCCTATATATATATTTCTGGAAAGTTGCATGTAGATCATTTTTCGAAAAAAATAAGGCCATAAAGAAGTTTCACTTCTTACGTGTGTACACTAGTACACGCACACATTTTTTTTTAATTGGTGAACATTTGGTTCACTGGTTTGCTAGTTATTAATCTATTATTGTATGATGGCAGGTGATAGCGTTATGCCCTCTGTACAAGCTCAGCCCTCTGCACGCGTGTGATCGGTACGCGCTTTCTGCACTCGACTGCCCGCGACCCTCCATGTTATACGAGTAAGTTTATTAACAAACACTATATTATAAATTGAAGTTATAATTTTTATTTTTTTTAAAGCATGTAACTGCTTGATGTTTAACTCTAAAGAAAATTTCTTTAGAGTTAAACATCAAGCAGTTACATGCTTTAAAAAAAAAAAAGTATAAATTATAACTATAATTGCTATTTCTTCTTTCAAATGTTTAATACTTGTAAAAGTATTCATTTGACATTGTGGGTTACCTATAATGCGGAGAGATGGCGCTGCCTTGCAGCTTAAGAATAGCTAGAAGAATTTCGACGCGGTCCGTGAGGGCTGCGGTAGCATAATTGGTCAGTGCATTCGCCCGGATTGCGAAGGGTGCGGGTTCGAGTCCCGTCTGCTGCCTGGTCCGCGTGGATTTTTTTCTAGTTATATTTTCTTTATAAATTGAAGTCAAAGTTCTTTTCGGGCGGGGTGTAAATGAAAAAATCCTATGGAAAAGATGAAGCGAAGAAAAAATGAATGATCGTCTTTAAGCGGAAATGCGTCACATGACAATCTATATATATAAAACTCAAACGTGACTGACTGACTGACATCAACATCTCAAAATCAGTGATCTATCAACGCACAGCCCAAACCACTGGACGGATCGGGCCGAAATTTGGCATGCAGGTAGATTTTATGACTTAGGCATCCGCAAAGAAAGGATTTTAATCAATTCTATCCCTAAGGGGATACCACATTTGTTGTACACCAAACCAGGGTGGGTTCCTTCTATTAAGTGTTTAACACCTGTACCAGAAGCAATCACTCTTATATAGCATCATTATTATATCTTATGGTAAGGTCTTATTTTTTATGTCATTAGATTTTTAAAAGATTATTAAGAAAATAATTATAATTTATCTATATATATAAAACTCAAAGGTGACTGACTGACATAGTGATCCATCAACGCACAGCCCCAACCACTGGACGGATCGGCCTGAAATTTGGCATGCAGGTAGATGTTATGACGTAGGCATCCGCTAAGAAAGGATTTTGATCAATTCTACCCCCAAGGGTATAAAATAGGGAATGAAAGTTTGTATGAAACTTTGTCAATTTTAAACCGATCGGGCTGAGACTTTGCATGTAGGTATAAGAAGAATCATAGATGAAAGTCATTGTGTATAATACAAGCCTGAGAACAAAAACTGTAGTCTACACTTCAGCTCTACACCGAAGCGAAGCGAGCGAAGCTAGTGATAAAAATCAGTGAGGAATCAGTTGAGAATATTTGTATGGAAAAACATTGCCTACCTCCCTTCTCAAAATACTTAAAACCATTCATTATAAAGCGTGTTTCTCTTACTGTTCTTTCATATTTACTATTCAAAAAAGCGCAATATTTTTAATTCTTATTATGTAGGTACCGAAGTGCCCACTTTTTTGAATGATTTGACTTGTAACTTAATGCTGTAGATTCTGGCATGATTTTCTAAACCTTAACTTAAATTTGACAACAGTGTATCTGTGAAGGATAAGGACTGTATTTTTTTATTATTATAAGAGAAAAGAAAACAGTGGTGGCAGTGAGAAGGTAAAGCAATCTATTTAATGTCAAAGAATAACAATCTCAATAAAAACAAAAAAATATGGGTGCGTGTACTTAAGTACGCGCGTGAGAAGTTATACTTCTTTTTGGAATTATTAAAAAATAGTTTTTAATTGCATGCAGATAATTAATTACAATAAGATAATAAAAGGATTGGAAAAGGATAGTCAACGCAGTCAATAAAGTTCAGTTTTAATTTGAAAAATTTAATAAATAATCAAAATATTCAATTTAAATCACTACTGAATAAAATTTATTAGCACATATAAATTTCGCATTTGTATAACATTATAACACGTGTTAAGAATATAGAAACTAGAAACATGTGGATAAATATTATAAATATGAAAACAGTGATCAGAGGCGACGAGCGTCCCAACATGTGCGACTAAGAGATCCTATTACTATTTTGTTGGAAGCTTTTTTTCGAGACTTACGAGTAATGTGCGTTTTTCTGTTACAGTGTTGCGCGCGCATCTTAAAATTTCACTCTCATAATTTTTTCATAACGCGCTTAAAGAAGTATAACTTCAAAAGTATCAAAAACTCATAGACAAAACATAGTGATATAAAAGGTGCGCTATCCGGCACAGTATCCTTGTCAATCTGTATACAGAATGAAAAGGAGAGATCGATATTAAAGCCCAAATATAGATTGAAGTCCAGACACGAAGATAGCTGGTACAGCAGTTCTACCTGCCACACCAGCCATCCTCACCCTGCCGGCCTGCATGTTGCTTCTTCACGCCTCTTTTAAAGGATCCCAGGTTGTAAGAGGGAGGGAACACGTGAGCGGGCAGAGCATTCCATTTACGGATAGTGCGATAAAGATATGAGTCAACAAATTTCTTTGTACGCGTTGGAATTGTGGCCACAGTTAGACGGTGACAACGTAGGCGAGCGCGCGTGGTCCTCTGAAGGAAAGGGGAAGGTGGGATAAGAGAGAATAACTCCTCAGAACACTCGCCGTGGTACAAACAAGTATCTCTTATCTATTAGACAAGTCCGTCCGTCCGTCCGTCCGTCCGTCCGTCCGTCCGTCCGTCCGTCCGTCCGTGGTGCTGTTTCAGCGGCCAAACCGTAAGAGATAGATAAAGAGAATGTTTAAGTTATAAGTTAAGAATAGTCTGATAAGACTACAAACCGGATTTGAGCAACGTAGCACTTCCGGTTTTCGAGAAATCACGAATTTCAAACGAAACCACACAAAATCTCCGAAGTTCTCAATTATTTAAATTCATTTTTTTTTTAATCAGGTTTTGGTGAACATTTGGTTCACTGGTTTGCTAGTGGTATTTATTAAATGGTTTTTCTGTGTGTAATCCAGGTGTGGTGAGAGTTCCCGCGTCCACGTGGAGTGTCCCCGGTACGACGTGGTGCCTCCAGACCACGTGACGCTGTTCCTCACCAACCTGTCAGTATTATATACCATCCAACTAACTCATAAACCGCATCAACATATAAATAAACTAGCTGACCCAGCGAACTTCGTACCGCCATAAAAAAATTTAATTAAAAAAACATTGTCCAGCGGACAAAATTGTGAATCTAAACCATTCTCAGATCCCCTTGAACACACACAAAAAATTTCATCAAAATCGGTCCAGTCGTTTAAGAGAAGTTCAGTGACATACACACTCACAGAAGAATTATATATATAAAGATAAAATAAATATTTGCAACACTCACACCAATTTGCCTACCCCCAAAGTAAGCACTGTAGGCTTGTGTTATGGGATACTAGGGTAACGGATAGAATACATATACTGTACATATATAAGTATATTTATATAGAAATACATATTAAACATCCATGACTGGAGTACAAATTGCTCGTATTCGTCACACCAACATCTGCCCCCACCGGGATTCGAACCCGGGACCTCTCGAGTCGGCGAAACCATGAAACTCGGCTTAAAACCTCTCGGTCACGGAGGTCGTCAAAATTAGTTAGTATTATATACCATCCAACGAGCTCATAAACCGCATCAACATATATCCGTACATTACCGTTACCTCATCTACATTATGTAAAATTGCAAATAATCTTTAATATAAAAATGAATCGCTGAATGTGTTGCTAAGCGCAAATCTCGAGAACAGCTGAACCGATTTCGATTATTCTTTTTTGAGCATATTCCTTGAAGTACGAGGATGGTTCTTACGCAGAGAAAATTTGAAAAAAATGCCTGAAAAAGTCCAAAAACAACACTTTCTATACTCCCATTCAAACGATTCGTAATAATATTGAAAGTCAATTTGAACTTTAATACCACACCATAAACTTCAAATTTTAGTGGAGAGGTTCCGGGAATGCAAAACAATTCAGTGACGTGATGTCAAAAGATATTTGGAAAAGGCAAATATACCATTTTCAGTTTTTTTTTTATAATTATATGAAGAGGCATTTTAGTCTACACTACAGCTCTACACCGAAGCGAAGCGAGGGCGGGCCACTAGTATGTTATAAATATTAAAACAACTGGGCCGCCCGCGCCTTTGCTTCGCATTTACATGCACGTAGAAAAAAACAAGTTGTTCTTCACCAACCTGTCTATATTATATACCGTCCAACGAACTCATCAAAATGTAGCCTTACATCAACCTCATCGATTTCTTTTTGTATAGCTAGGTAGGCAAATGACTCTACCCCACCTAATGTTAAGTGGTGATAAAGTCCAAACGCGAAGATAGTGATAAAAGTTGATTCACATTAGTGCCATTAAATACTACTTGTTTGCTTCTAGTTGCACCATTTGACATAACTCATAATGTGGTCATAATTTGTCCATGACCATAACTGTCCAAGCTAGGCTGGTAAAATATAACTTTAACCAGCTCTGAGCGCACCCAACTCACTCTTAAACTAAAATTAACTTCATCCGATGTTAATTGTCACGAATTGTTTACTCTCTGTAAATACGATTTACCTTATAAAAAATAAAATAATTTCTGGTCAAAAAATATTAAGATTTAAGTTCATATATATATATATATATATATATATATATATATATATATATATATATATATATATATATATATATATATATATATATATGTACTAGCTGATCCAGCGAACTTCGTACCGCCCTAAAAAAATAGGGGTTGTCCAGCGGACAAAATTGTGAATCTAAACCATTCTCAGATCCCCTTGAACACACACAAAAAAATTCATCATAATCGGTCCAGTCGTTTAAGAGAAGTTCAGTGACATACACACTCACAAAAGAATTATATATATAAAGATTTATTCTATAGCCAGGTAGGCAAATGGCTCTACCCCATCTGATGTAAGTGGTGATAAAGTCCAAACGCGAAGATAGCTGGTACAGCAGTTATAAACTGCCACACCAACCATCCTCACACTCACAAAAGAATTATATATATAAAGATTTATTCTATAGCCAGGTAGGCAAATGGCTCTACCCCATCTGATGTAAGTGGTGATAAAGTCCAAACGCGAAGATAGCTGGCACAGCAGTTATAAACTGCCACACCAACCATCCTCACACTCACAAAAGAATTATATATATAAAGATTTATTCTATAGCCAGGTAGGCAAATGGCTCTACCCCATCTGATGTAAGTGGTGATAAAGTCCAAACGCGAAGATAGCTGGTACAGCAGTTATAAACTGCCACACCAACCATCCTCACACTCACAAAAGAATTATATATATAAAGATTTATTCTATAGCCAGGTAGGCAAATGGCTCTACCCCATCTGATGTAAGTGGTGATAAAGTCCAAACGCGAAGATAGCTGGTACAGCAGTTATAAACTGCCACACCAACCATCCTCACACTCACAAAAGAATTATATATATAAAGATTTATTCTATAGCCAGGTAGGCAAATGGCTCTACCCCATCTGATGTAAGTGGTGATAAAGTCCAAACGCGAAGATAGCTGGTACAGCAGTTATAAACTGCCACACCAACCATCCTCACACTCACAAAAGAATTATATATATAAAGATTTATTCTATAGCCAGGTAGGCAAATGGCTCTACCCCATCTGATGTAAGTGGTGATAAAGTCCAAACGCGAAGATAGCTGGTACAGCAGTTATAAACTGCCACACCAACCATCCTCACACTCACAAAAGAATTATATATATAAAGATTTATTCTATAGCCAGGTAGGCAAATGGCTCTACCCCATCTGATGTAAGTGGTGATAAAGTCCAAACGCGAAGATAGCTGGTACAGCAGTTATAAACTGCCACACCAACCATCCTCACACTCACAAAAGAATTATATATATAAAGATTTATTCTATAGCCAGGTAGGCAAATGGCTCTACCCCATCTGATGTAAGTGGTGATAAAGTCCAAACGCGAAGATAGCTGGTACAGCAGTTATAAACTGCCACACCAACCATCCTCACACTGACGGCCCGCAAAAATGCTTCTTCACGCTTCTCTTAAAGGAGCCCAGATTGTAGGAAGGAGGTAGTACATAACACCATAGTGAATGAAGATAGAATCACGCTGTTCCTCACCAACCTGTACCGATTTTTTTTAAGTATTTCCAACTCACACCAATCAGCCTAGCCCCAAAGTAAGCACTGTAAGGCTTGTGTTATGGGATGCTAGGGTAACGGATAGAATACATATACTGTACAAATATAAGTATCTAATATATAAAATTCTCGTGTCGCGGTGTTTGTGGTTAAACTCCTCCGAAACGGCTCGACCGATTTACGTGAAATTTTATATGCATATTCAGTAGGTCTGAGAATCGGATGTAATCTATTTTTCATCCCCTTAAATGTTAAGGGTAATCCAAACCATTTTTTTTTCAATTTTAGATATATTTTTTTTTTATTTTTTTTTATAATACATCAAACAAAAATACATACAACCCTAAATTTTCACCCTTCTACCACCAACCCCTATTTTTTTTATGGCGGTACGAAGTTCGCTGAGTCAGCTAGTATTTATATAGAAATACATATTAAACATCCATGACTGGAGTACAAATGCTCGTATTATATTCGCTTATATAATAAAAATGTATAGTTTCATGCATATTCCCTTTTGGTGTCAGCGTTGGAAATATTTATTTTTAGGTAAATACATATCTTTATTTATATAATTCTTCTGTGAGTGTGTATGTCACTGAACTTCTCTTAAACGACTGGACCGATTTTGATCAAATTTTTTGTGTGTGTTCAAGGGGATCTGAGAATGGTTTAGATTCACAATTTTGTCCGCTGGACAATGTTTTTTTAATAATTTTTTTTTATGGCGGTACGAAGTTCGCTGGGTCAGCTAGTATATATATATATCTTTTAAGCATTTTACTGCTAGATGTTTAAATCTGAAGAAAAGTTTTACTAGAAAAAAAACACGCAGACCAGGCAGCAGACGGGACTCGAACCCGCACCCTCCGCTATCCGGGCGAATGCTCTGACCATTATACTACCGCGGTCCTAATTGTCCGTGTCGAAATTCCTCTAGCCATTCTTAAGCTGCAAGGCAGCGCCATCTCTTCGCAATATTTATTCATCATCATCAGCCTGCTGGGGCAGAAGCCTTCCCTATGGATGGAATAGGGAGATTGGGCCATGACCCACCACGCGGACCCAGTGCGGGTTGGTGGGTGCTAACGACTGCAGATGCAGCCGGGACCAACGGCTTAACGTGCCTTCCGAAGCACGGAGGAACTCGAAATAGAAGATTTTTGGTCACCCATCCAATGTCCGACCACTGCGAAAGTTGCTTAACTTCAACGATCTCAGCCGAACGCGCTGCCCACCCGCGCCATTAAGCTCCTCATTTTATTACTTCTATATATATTTAATTACTATTTTCTTTTTTCGACAGCGGTGGCAGCTCACCGTCGTACATATACAGATTATTGTCTGAATTGTACGACCCTAAGGATCATCAGCTATAATCAAGAACGAGAAACACACTGTAATTTGTAAAATATAATAAATACAAGTTAAGTAAAAACACATATATTTTGTGTACTCCTGAATTAAAAATAAAGATTATTATGATTTATTGATCTTGTTATTATTTATGGTAGAGCCATGCGGGGATTTTTGGATAAGACGAGCGCGACAGATTAACATATGGGGTATAGCCTTGCCCCTTAAGTTTTCCCACCATACCTGAGCCCTTTATGTAGGGCCGACATCTCTTTTGGCCGTCAGTCAGTCGTCAGTCTTTTGAATATAAGCTCTAGTAGCTTATATTCAAAAGACTGACGATTTGGGTAACGGGTTCATGTAACGTTTCTTAGAATGGAAAAATATTGATCTGCCGGGGTTTGTATGGTATGGAGGTGGCCGTACGAAGAGGTAGAATATAGGAAAAAGCTCGAGCGCGTCAGACATTGAGAAGGGATGTTACGTGAACCCTCCAGTAGCAGCTATTCAAAAGACTGACGATTTGGACGCGGCCAAAAGTCACGGCCGTTTGTTGAAATTTTGTTTTTACTAGACGTTTGGCCCTATATAAATGGCTCAGGTATGGTGGTAGTTTAGTTATTTTTTGTTTAGTATTAATTAACTAGGTGCACAAGAGGGGCACCTCTTTTGTTATTCTGCCGCGCTTGAGTAAATCCAATAATCCCAGATTGGGCTCCCCTACTAAATGATCTTATTTGGTTGACATTTTAGAGCGGGCGTTATTGTTTCTATTTTTGTTATTATCAGCCTGTTAAGCGTTCCCACTGCTGGGACACAGGCCTCTCCTAATGTATGGAATAGTGGGAACGGGCCATGATCTGCCAGGCGGCCAATCGCCTAACGGTTTTGCTATGGCTATCGCTACAATGCTTACAATTTCATATTGTTATTTCTGATCAAAATATTTAAGAAAATGACCGTGAGGTATTAGAATACCTTCTGATACATACGACACTATCTAGTGTGTTAGAGATCAGTAAAGAATACTAAAGAGGCCATCAAGTTATCCTGCTTACTACTAACATTATCTCTTATCTATTAGACAAGTCCGTCCGTCTGTCTGTGGTGCTGTTTCAGCGGCCAAACCGTAAGAGATAGATAAAGAGAATATTTAAGTTATAAGTTAAGAATAGTCTGATAAGACTACAAACCGGATTTGAGTAACGTAGCACTTCCGGTTTTCGAGAAATCAGGTTTTGGTGAACATTTGGTTCACTGGTTTGCTAGTTGCCTCTAATTTGCGTCTCCGCCTCGCTTCAACCTGCGCTGCCTCGCGGGTTTGTTGCGGTTTAACCTAGTTGCAAGCTGTTCAGCCGTTAACTGGTCAGCCCTCGATGTCTGCGGTGTTTTGCTGGTGGTACTCACGGCCGGTTTGGTAACGGCATGTCTGCTTCGAACTTCCACCTTCCAAAATGGAGGCCCTTTCGGGGTAGCATCAGGAATCGCGGCACCTTGTGCAGATAGGTTCATGACCTCCTGCGCTGTGACGTTGGAACTGGTACTAGGTGGCACATCCGAAGACGCAGGCGTGTTTTTGTGTGTGCACGACGTATCCGAAGACGCAGCCATGCGTGTGTGTATGTTTGGTGCATTCGAGGACGCTGCTTGTTGGTGAGCCACCTGCACATTCGAGGATGTAGCCGGCGTGTCGTGATTGGTTTTAGTGTTTTTTTTTAATTTACTGTATCCATATGTGTTGCTTTGACTTGTCCATTCCCAGCGGCTTTCCTCCTCCTTGGAGCTCGGGGGACGCTGCACATCTTAATGTGTGCATACGCCAGAAATATCCTGGGACTATACGACTCCAGACCCGTGGGTTTACGCTCAGTTACCAGTATTGGATTCAAACGCTCCCGCCGGTTCAGAGCCCTCGCCGACTAAGATGGTGGAAAGTCTAAGCTGATTGCCCCAATTGGCTACTCTGAGGTCTCCCGTTTAGGCTGAAATCAGGGCCAAAGAGGCGTGTTGCTGCGGCGGTCACCTACAGCTCAACCTCCAGGATCCCTTCCTCCCTCCGCACAGATCTCCACGCACGGCACACACGCGGGTGGACGATTTCAACCTGCCATCCTGGTTTTTTGGATGACTGACCCATGTCGGCGTGACCACGTCGTCGATTATGGCGTATCACAATAGGATAAATAGGAAAGGGATGGGTAAGAAACTGCGAGGAGTGCATCAGGTATATTCGGTTGCAATCTGCATCAAAAGGATTAACAATTCGTAACTGGTGGCAACCGCGAAGGATAGCATACCTGGCTTGCCTTAGGGATCTACACGACTGTGGCACTCTCCCCTAAAGCCATTCGCCTAATCACACATTGGACAGTTGTGTGAAAAAGGGGTACGCATAGACCAACCCTGCCGAAAACTTTACTGGTGTTAAAGCTAACCCTCATATAGTTTATTACGTGGATTGAGACTTACAATACTTTACTACCGGTAAATGTTAGGATCCTAAATAAATACTCAAAAAACTAAAGTTAACGTGGTCAAAGTCGCGGGTGGACGCTACATATACACAAACGGCATAAATATCGTAATGGGTGAGAATCTACGCAATATCTCAGCGCCCTCCAAAGCGACTGTAATCAATGATCATCATCTGAATATATAAGCGCAGTATGACAAGATAAAAATAGACTGTTAGCATGAGTCGGCGAAGGAAATCTATAATATTGTCGTCAAGCATAATATACACAAGAAACGACTCTTTTTATCGAAAAAGAATAGATATGAGCAACTCTTCACAAATACATGCCACACAAAACCAAATCCAAATAATACATCAGTGTGTGCCTTCCTTGTTTAATGAATGCGTTAGAAAGAGAGAATCTCATGTTTTTTAACCACTCGTTGCTAGCTTCACACTGCATGTTTGCGTCATGTTGGCTGCATTATAATAACAATGAGCTGAGCCGTTCAGAATCCAGCGCTACAGCGCCGTTTATCATTGAATAGAGATCTATTTACAAAAACGTACATTGCCGCTAGAGCGTAGCGAGCGCTGCGCACTGCGTGGGGGACGACTTGTATAAACTTTTTATACGAGGCTTACGTATGTATCGGTCGCCCGGACTGGGCGCATAGCGTTATGTATTATCTTCAGTTTTCTTTTTAGTATTTGCACTAGAATTTCCTAAGTTTTCGTTTAATTACTATTGTAAAATATGATTTAGTGCATAGTTGTAAATATTAGAAGTGTTTTTTACATTGTGTTGTGAAGCGGAACATTGAAAGTGGGATTATCGCCTGATTCACATTAATTATGTGAACGGTGACGAACCATTTTAAGTGCGCGATAACACGCCCTCTGTTATTTCTTCGCAATCCTGATGATTTCCTTTTATCGAAAACTGATAATAAGTCTAAATAATGCGTCGCAAATAAAAATCAATACTTAGTCCTCATATTATGTTATGTGTGCATATATGTTTTTCAATTAGATCATAAAATAACCTATATAACTGTGTTAGTTTAACTATAAATGTATTTGAGATAAGATGTTTGTGAAAAAACTGGAAGCTGCAATTTATTGACCCGAGTCGAATTGGCGGTGGATTTTGAACGTAAACCATTCACCGCTAGAGGGTGTGCGCATCGCTTTGTTCTTGTTCGTGACGTTGGCGCGCTTGTGCGATTGCGATCAGTCTGCGCGAGCTTCGCGCAGTTGTGGTCGTTCGTTGAACACCAGCGTAGGGCTCCAGGAGTCTGAGAGAAGGTGGATACAGTTGCATCGTGATAACGTAGTGTCGCAGTGCAGTGAGATATAGTGTTGTGCTGGATTTTGGCAGCGGGCGCGAAGGCCCGCGTGGTCGGCGCGGATCGATACGCTATAGACGTGATATGGCGCAGCGATCATGAGCCAGGGCGGCTCTAGGAGACCGTACTCGCGCGGGGGCCCGCGCTGGCACCCCCGCTACAAGGACTACTGGGACTACGAGCAGAATTACAGGTCAGTACAGCCCCGCAGAAAAGTATTTTTACACTATCTCGATTTCACTTTTGCATAAATTGTACGTACGTGAGGTTTTCACGTACGTACCTATTTACAACTTCCTACTTCTACGATCTGCGGCTCAGATAATGTATCTAATTAACAAACTTGTTACTTGTTTAGTATTCATGTTGTTCCATACGATTTTCCTTTAATGTTTGCCATATCTTTTTGCTAAGTACCTTCTTTTTTTTGGGATAATGCTTCATAATCTATCAAATCCACTTACTGCTATAATACAGTTATTCATAATATTATTATGATATGAGATGTCTAACATATTATGTTAGACATGCAAATTAGTACCTTGCTACAATGGTAATCAGTATTTTTTTTTAAATTGTAATATTAATAATTTCTTTAATTGCTTAAACCGTGGTATAAAAACATGTTAAAATAGGTATAATACAGAGTACACATATTTTGCTAATTATAATTGCATTCAAATTACAAAGCCTCAGTCAATATGTACGTGGAATTCTTTGCCTGCGCAAGTGTTCCCTCCTTCCTGCTTCCTAGGGTCTTTTACATGAGGCATGAAGAAGCAGTTTTGGAGGCCGGCAAGGTGAGGATGGTTGGTGTGGCAGTTATAACTGCTGTACCAGCTATCTTCACGTTTGGACTTTATAACCACTTACATCGAGTGGGGTAGAGTCATTTGCCTACTTGGCTATAGAATATATATATTTAAATGAACTTAAATCTTAATATTTTTGACAAGAAATTATTTTATTATTTATAAGATAAATCGTATTTACAGAGAGTAAACAATTCATGACAATTAACATTAGATGAAGTTAATTTTAGTTTAAGAGTGAGTTGGGTGCGCTCCGAGCTGGTTAAAGTTATTATGGTCATGGTCAAATTATGCAGTTATGTCAAATGGTGCAACCCATTTATTACCTAACGGGTATTTTAATCTTTTCTTTTTTTTTTCAAAAACACACCAATTAACCTATCCCCAAAGTAAGCACTACTGGGATACTAGGGTAAAGGATAGAACTGGACACTTTAACTTAACTTTAACAGTTAAGGCTCATTTTACTCAATCTGAAACTATAAACTTGACATTGGAACTTTGAATGTCAACATTCAAAATTCTGATAATCCATAACAATTATAAATATATATAATGATAAAGATTCTGACTCGATTCTCTAAACTTAAAAATAAATTTAACATCAGTCTCTCCTATTCATTCTGTATAGAGAATGATAAGGATGCACTATAGTAATATTTCAGTTTAGGTATAGAGAATCATGCCAGAATCGACACCAATGTTTATCTATATAACTGTTGCTTTTAGTAGTCTTGCTTCAAATGTTTCCTATAGGTTCTGATAACATCAAAGTGCTCTTCACTAAGTTAATGTGCCATACCGAAGTGGCAGTGACTCACCTCCTGTCTGTATTTGCAACGTCCTGTTTGACTCATTGTGGGCCAGCAATGTAGAGTTTATGGCGGTTTTATGTTGGTATTCATTTTGTATATTATCCGTATAGTGCAAATCTGTGTAACTAGCATTGGATAATTCCAACTATATGACAAAAGTAGCCAAATCAAGATTTCACAGGCATTACATGCAATATTCTAAGACATGTGTTTCATTACGACCAGTAGAAAGCAAGAAATCGCCAAATTACAATACTGCAGATCTACCGCTGGCATAAGGCAATCGCCAATACCACATGTATGATCAGTAGGCCTAATCGCTTACGGTTTTTGGCAGATGGAAGTAATAATTCCCGAGTTATTTACTGATCCATTATTGCTTTAGTATTACTGTAATGCAATGTTAGTTAACTGTTTCCTTAATTGAATATTGGTATTAAATACCGTTTTGATTTACTTTTCTAACCCTATTAAAGATTAGATGTTCCAAAAAAGGATGTGAATATTTGATATATTCCATCTGCAGCAATTGAGAATGTTTGACAATTTCACAGAAGTTGTATTTTAAAATATACTTATGTGTTTTTCAATAAAAGCTGATGAGGCATACAAAAATACTATGTACTACTGCGCTTTCCGCAGCATTGTATGTGGAAATCGTTAGAGGAGGCCTATGTCCATCAGTGGGCATCCATTAGCTGTTGATGATAATACTATTACCATATTATTCATTAATGAGGTAACCATATTTATTATAATAATATTATATTGCTCTAAACTATCTCTTGGTTGCCAAGATTCAATCAAATTTGACGACCTCCGTGGCCGAGTGGTTTGTACGGCCGAGAGGTCCAGAGTTCGAATCCCGTTGGGACAGATGTCTGTCTGATGAAAACGAGCATTTGTACTCTAGTCATATAAATATATTGATATATGTATCAGTGTTATGTATTCTGTCTGTCCGTTACCCTAGTATCCCATAACACAAGCCTACAGTGCTTACTTTGCGGCTAGACTAATTGGTGTGAGTGTTAGAAATGTTTATTTATTTATATTTATTTAAATTGATTACATTTTGATGAAAGGTGACGTCAGAAGCCGCAAAAACCGGCGAGCATGTATGAAAAGAGTAATGAATGTGAATGAAGTGCTTTAATCCCCTCTGCCTACCCTACCTGGAACTCTGTGTGAAGATAGATAGGTAGATTCCTCTTATCTCAATAAGTTTTTGAAGAAGAAATAAGAATTGCTTTTATTTTATAAAAAAAAGCAACTTGCCTCACAGCTACGCTCGCTCGGTTAGCGACGCACGCGCAGGTAGCCACCCCGGGTCATCGGCCCGCCCTAAATATACACGCGGATGCGGTGGTTTTTTTACAGTTGGCAGCCCTGTCGCTCGGTTTTGTAGTGCACGCGAAAATTATACCCAAGTCGAAGGCGATAAGGTGCTGTTTTCTATATCAAATCATTAAGCAACCTGTGATGAGATTTGGTCTTTAGAAAAAATTTAAAAAGGTTATGAAAAAATTGAAAAATCTTTGATTTTCTATTTCCTTCAAATGAAATAAGTTTGTGGGTTAAAATAAAACACGAAATTTATGAACTCACTACTACCGCCTTCCTGGTTGTGTTTTGGGGTACTTTACCCAACTATACGCTTGCCATATATTATATATGACCTCATGAACAGAGGACAGCTAATCTTCACAAGAAGGAGTATGTAAAACTGTCGATGCTATTATAACGAATCAAAGTTACGTCCATACAAGTAAAATGATTTTTTCGACTTTTCCTCTCGGCTCAGTGGTGAATCAGGTACAGAACCCCATCGTGCGAGAGTCAAACTCCCATTTGGCCGGGTTTTTTCAAATCAGATTTGGGTTTAACTTACGATATCCACATATACAGCGCGACCAAGATCTTGTATAAAACATATTGTTTTAAAATTTCATGGTTACTAACATTGTTATTTACGGGATTGTTACCATGTACCTTGTTTTTGGCTAGTATCCGATATTTCGGCACTGTTGCAAGCGCCATGCGCCATGATCTCTAAAAATCATAAAAGCGAAATTACCCGCAGAAAAAGCAGAACTTCTGGGTCTCACGGCCGGACGGATGCTAAATAAAAAGGATTTTTTACTAGGTAAATGTTTTAATAAGACACAATGTATTTTATAAGAAAGTTCTAATTGGTATTATTATTTTTTTGCATATTTAGACGCTTGCTTTCGTTAAAAGTCAAATTGGCCCGGACAAGAGATCAAAAAGCCTAACACTGTCCGGCTTTATCCAGATAAATGGCAACGCTAGTCGACAACTGATGTAAGATGCGTGAAGTTTTTGTTCGACACGCTATACCAGGTACAGGTACGTACCTGGGCGTTTTCCCCGCCCCCCACGACAACGGCTAACTAGAGCCGAGGTTCGAGTCTCAGAGACGCCCTCTAGTTGAGCCAACCCCCTCAGGTTCGAGTGGTCTAGAGGCTCCAGACGGAGAGGAGACTCACCCCGTGGGAAGATACCATCCGCCTGGAATACCTCTAGAGGCACTCGCCAATTCTCGGCTTGAGGTCCCCTTAGGATCTCGCCGTCCCCAAACCCGGTGACGCTGTAAAGGTCGTCTGCGACTAACAGCATACGCACTCAAAAAAAAACAAGGTTTTTGTTTGTAAGCAAGATGGCACCTGTGTGCCAGGTGCTTGTCGGTTTGAATCCCATCCGCGCCAGATGGCAAGTCGCGTGTAGGGTTGACTACATGACGTAGTAGCGTTCAATAACCCTCGTGAAAACAACTTGATTATGTACTTTCATATTTCCTTTTAAATAAATAAGAAAAGGCAAAACAGTTTTTTTAAACATTTAGACTGTTAGATGTTTCAATGTGTAAAGAATGCTTTACTAGAACTTTTTTTTTTTTATTTATTTATTTAGGACAACCAACAAAGCATAACACGGCGTCAGTGTTAGTAGTTACAGAAGCAGTTTAAAGCTTGGATTAGTGTCGCTTTAATTATAGGTTCGGCATGCGCAATGAGAAGCAACTATAATTAACAAATTCTATCATTCAGCAACTATGAGCTAGTTTTGGCCGCAAGGCGGTTTTCAAATTTTAACCAAAACAGTTTCAAGAAATAAGTTTTGTCTGCTAGTAGTAGCTTCATTTAATCTTGTTATTCATAGAAAGATTAAATGTTCATGAACATGAATATTTATAGTTATAATTTTATTTTGTAAGCATGTAACTGCTCACTGTAACTGCTTGTAAAGGTATTCGTTTGACATTGTAGGTTACCTGAAATGCGAATAGACGGCGCTGCCTTGCAGCTTAAAAAGGGCTAGAAGGAATTCGACACGGCCATCTGGGCCGCGGTAGTATAATTGGTCAGTGCATTCGCCCGGATAGCGAAGAGTGCGGGTTCGAGTTCCGTCTGCTGCCTGATCCGCGTGGTTTTTTTCTAGTAATATTCTCTATATGAATATTTATTCCTGAATAATATATAGGTACGATATTTAATTGTCATAGTAGAAGCTCTACTTAGTTTGAGACTTCATTATAGCCTTTA